CTGGGTTGGAAATATAGTTATTTAACTCGATTTCAGGTTTACATGGGTTAATTAAATTAATTAAAATATTTCTTAATTTTTTTAATTGAATTAACCTAATAAATTAATTTAGATTTAATAATAGTGGTTCAAAACTCAACGTCAACGTATAAAAAAACACAGCAAGTGGTTAAAATAATTCAATCAAACTATGGCTCTCTTCTTTCATCCTTGCAAACAAATAAATGATATATTTTTTTATATTAAGATATTTTATTTTCATGTTTTTGCATGATGGATGGATTTTTCTAACTCAATCATATTAAGTTAGTTGAATCAATCATATTATAAAACATATAATAGGAGTTTAGGTTGGTACATTATTTTAAATGCAAAAGCATACTGTGCTTGAGTCATTTGAATTAATTAAATAAAGAGTTGAAATTTTTATTTGGTGGTTTTCTCTTATATATGACTAAATTTACTTTTACAACATTTCATAGTTTGTTGACAAATTCCCTCCTGCAAGTCACAAAACAATCGCTTTCGGCCAGAGTTAATGATACCAAAAATGTCTTTGTTAGATATCTTGTGTTTGAAATTTTAATGCATGATATTTTTAAAAAATATTAAAATTATTAGAAATTATTAAAAAATATATTAAAATTATTAGTAAATATTAAAAAAATATTTTTTAACTAAAAACAATTAAAAACATTTTAAAACAGAAAAACGCGCCGTGAATAAGATCATAAGCGTCTCTTTTTTGCTGGTCAAACGAAGCAATACTTTCATGGTGAAGCTATCTACTGATTTTGCTAACTCTGTAGCTTAATTTATTGCAAATTATAATATGCCAGCTACAATTGACTCCAGATTTTGTCACATGCTTTCCTTGAAAGTTATAAATTCTTGCTAGGCTCCTCCACTTTTATCACAGAACAACCAGTTACTTGGACTTCAATTCAATCCTCATGACCAGCACATGAAAATTAAATGAGTTACTGCTGCATTCAAAATCCAAACCCTAGCTCTTGTATGATGTTCCTCAGTCAAACTTCATGCCCTTTCCTAACCCAGATCCCTTTAGTTACATTCATGCCCTCCACGCCTTTCATGGAAGAGAATATTTTGTAGCTTCTTGCACCTTTAAAAAATAATAATCTTGTTTAAACCGATTTTGTTCTCATTCTCTTCAAATACTACAAAAAATACTTAAGATTGGTACTTACTGCTTACCATTCCGATGAAATTGTAGAGTGAGTGCTTTTTTCTTTTACTTCTATTGGTGTTGGACAGTGTAGTACTTCCTAGTGGGGAGAGGTGAGAGAGAAAAGAGACCGCTCCAGCTCTCTGACTCTGCACATATACAGAGAAAAAGAAGTAAAGTGAATCACAAACACCAGAAAACTTAAAACCAAAACCCGAAAGACAGTTTTTTTGAGCAATTCAAAGCACAGCCAGAACCCAACACAGCTCCTTCATTTTCCTCCTACTGTTCTGTTTTAGTCAGAACCCATTTCTCAAATCCTTCCAAAACCTGTCATGATTTGATCCATTTCGGCCATTTCCTAAATGGGTTTTCCCTCGAAACCTTTTTCTTGCTTCTTCTTTCTCTGTCTTCTCTCTGTCAATCTTTCTCAGTCTGCCCTTGATTACAGCACCTTGGTCTACAAGGGTTGTGCGAAGCAAGCTTTTCAAGATCCAAATGGTGTCTATTCACAAGCCATCTCTGCCCTTTTTGGCTCTTTAGTCTCCCAGTCCACCAAAACCAAGTTCTTTAAGACCACCACCGGGACTGGCCAAACAACCATCACTGGTCTCTTTCAATGCAGAGGAGACCTTAGTAATACTGACTGCTACCACTGTGTCAGCAAACTGCCAGTTTTAACAGACAAACTATGTGGTAAAACAATAGCTGCAAGAATCCAGCTTTATGGATGCTACATTTTGTATGAAGTTGCTGGCTTTACACAAATTTCAGGTATGGAAATGCTGTACAAGACTTGTGGGGCTACAAATGTGGCAGGAAGTGGGTTTGAAGAGAGAAGAGATACTGCCTTTTCGGTGATGCAAAATGGTGTGGTTAGTAGCCATGGCTTCTACGCGACCAACTACCAATCTATGTATGTTTTGGGGCAGTGCGAGGGTGATGTTGGAGATTCAGATTGTGGCGAGTGTGTGAAAACTGCTGTTCAGAGAGCTCAAGTTGAGTGTGGGAACTCTATTTCAGGCCAAATCTATCTGCATAAATGCTTTATTAGTTACAGTTATTATCCAAATGGGGTGCCCAGGAGATCGTCGTCTTCTTCCTCATCTTCCAATTCATTTTCATCAGGTTTGAGTACTGAAATGGAATTTTTAGGAAATCTAGAGAGAAGTTTTCTGCTTTTTATATATAGTTAGTAAGCAATATTCGTTTTGGTGATGGTTTGCTTTACTGGATCGTTGATTCATCCTGTTTCCTAACTGATTCTATTTCCCTGCAAAAAAGTTTTTTTTTTCCAATATATTATCGAGTCTCTTAATCTATTGCAATAAGTATATGGTTAGGGTTGCTGGATCTTTCTCCCCTTTTCTTCCCCCTCCACTGTTAAAAAAAGTCCATTTTTAATAGATTATTGGGTCTCTATCTACTGGAATTAATATATGATTATCTTGTGTGAAGAATGTCCGGTATCTTATCAATGTGTATGAAAGTGGTTTTATTTTAATTGGCCTGGGAGATGTATATAATATAGAAGTTGATTTGTGATGGATGTAGGGACAGGGCAAAATACAGGGAAGACAGTAGCCGTTATAGTAGGAGGGGCAGCTGGTGTTGGGTTCTTGGTCATTTGCTTATTGTTTGCAAGAGGACTGCTGAAGAAACATGATGGTATGCTTTTTTGCACTTTGATGAATATGATGTGAGATAGGATAATACTCTGCATTTCATTGGTAGTAGACTCTTTTTTGCTTTCAATTCTGATATGGTTGGAGGATGCTATCTTGTGCAGATTTTTAAGAGAAAGAGATGGATCTTAAAGAGGAGGCAAGCAATAATCTTTTCTCGAGGTGGATTCTTTCAACATTTTCATTTCTTTCAATAGTATAAATGGGGTTTTGTGGTGGACCAATTTTGATGAAGAAAAGATAGGATAGAAATGGCAAATGTGTGCCTGTTGTCACAGCCTGGTAAGGCAGTATATCTGGGACTGGAAGTAACTAGGGCTTGAAGTTGTTTCACAAAGGTGAAAACATATAGCAGAGTGTGCTTGTCAATTTGAATGGATGACAGGGGAGAGTTGAATTAATGGGTTTTGGCCTTTATTTTTTGTACAGCGTGTGGATGTTTGTCTCTTTCCCCCTCCTCTCCACATCAATGCATCCCCATCCCCATCTTCTTCTGCTTTATGCTTTTTACAAAGTAGTCAATTACCTTCCTTTTCTCCTTCTCTAACATGCTGATGATCCTCACAGATGTGTTTCTTTTTCTTCTCATCTCTTTTCTCGGCCTGGATTAGCTATGATATTGTTAGAAGATGTAGGCGATTTGATGTAGAGCCTCGGGTTGGTTACTAAAAATGGAAACTCAAAAACACCATCATTTTCTTGCATTTTCTTGCCGAACAGTTTTGTTGTGATTATTAAATGGTGATAACTCCTCCTGTAAGATTTCGCATGAACCAATTGATAGAGACAGTCCAGTGTGGTGGTCCTTCTCCCAAGTCCTTACAAAAGAGTGCTGGAGGAGACAGCTAGATGCAATTATCATACATTGTTAGCACCTTGGAATGTATATAGCAAGCTGTCTTTCCATGACAACAAACATGCTATTTTTTAATTCAATGCAACAATTTCTCTGGTTTTGGACCGCGTAGGGTTGTAAAATGAAGCTAGGATAACACATGAATCGCAAATTTTAAGAGCTCTCGAGTTAAATAGAAGTTACCCTTTAAGAGGTTGGCGTCGAGCTGTGAAAGGAGCTTATGGTCGGCAGCCATACGCTCTTCCTCGAAATAAATTGAATGGCACAAATTGTGCACCGGAGGAGAGAGAAGAGGAAAGGAAGAAAAATACTTTTTATTACAATATTAGCGGTATCATTGAAAAGCTTTTGATAAAATAAATGATTTCAATGTCTGGTTATAACTATGATTGGAGTGTGTTTCAGACAACATGTGGCTTGTCTTTAGACAAAAAGCCAGAAAATATCTTAAAATTTATTTTCTCATGCATTAAAGGAATCGATAGCTTAGTGTGAGTCTTTTTTTATTTATTTGGAAATGGGTTGCCCGTTCCAATTTTTTCTTTTGAAAAAAATAAATTCAATTGATGCTTTGCTTCTTGTATCCCAAATTCTGTACCAGGCTGGAAAATCAAAGGTGATGTTTTTTTTTTTTTTTATAAATCTGATTTTTTTTTTATCCAAAATAGGTATAAATTCTTATATATGTGATTAAGCTTCTATATAGTCTTAAATTACTCAAAAAAACACTCCACAAACTTAAAATCAATATAAAATAAAAAAAATTATTAAGCTCGTATCCATGATTTTAGATAATACAAAGATCAAATAACACCTAGATAATACTTTTATTGATGAATGAAATCTATTAATATTAATATTGATTATTTTTATGAGCTAAATTAGTAGTCTCAAGATTTTTTCTGGCATTCTCTTTTCTTTTAAATTAGGAATTGAAAAATAAAAATAACGAAGGTCTTTACTACAATTAAAATTTTAAAATATTAAGGGATGAAAAGTTAGTCTAAAAAAGGATCAAAATGAATTTTTTGTTACAATTTTTAAATTGCCACCTTTGTTCTTCTTTTTTCTACATCTTGGTCCCTTCTTTTTCAATTTTGACCCTCCTGAACAAATTTTGATAAATTGGGGGCATAAAAGGATGAGATTGAGGAGAAATAAAGTTTGAGGATTAAATTGATAAAAAATTGCTGTGATTGCGTTTTAGATTTTGTTTAATAATTTAACGATCATATCTCAACAGTAAAATAGTCTTACCAGACAGCACGAGCCCTTCTCGCATGGAAGGATTAAGGCATGTGGATTTGTACTATGAAAGACGACATTTCCCTCAGAATTCCGCTTGACAGTTGTGTAAACCTTGTCATAGAATAGAAGTAGGCCATCAATGATTGGTCAAATTGTCAGGCAAATCTCCAATATTCAGTTGGCACTCAAACAGCTGAGGTCCCGATCAATGGCTTGTCGCCGGAACAAAGGTGGGTGCCGCTCCACCATCTTTAATTTTCCCATCTTTTTTTTTTCTTTCTTTCTTGGGTGATATTATTGCGTCCCAGGGATTGTATGCGCTCATAGCTCTGTTTTGGAAGTATTTTTTTAAAAAATTATTTTAATATATTTTTAAATTTTTTACATAGCTGGAAAAGTTTAAAATTTAAATCATAAAGTGTAATGTTTGTAGAATTGTTTATGAATTAGATAGATGATATAAGATTTAAAACTCAATTTTTATATGGAAATTATAAAATAGATTACTATAATCAATTTAGATCAAGAAAATCCTTTGATTAGATATGGAAAATATTTTTACAAAATTTTGTTATTACTTTTAGTACATTAATTGGAAAGGATAGCTATGAACCCAGAAGGAGATTTGTTTAAAATATAAATATGGAAAGTGGGTAAAAACATTAAAATATATATATATATTTAACTTAATTTTCGTTGTTAATTTCAATTTGTTTTTTTCGTTCTATACAGGCAGGTCGAGTTTTGCTATTATATAAACAGCTAATGAGTTATTTTTCATTAAAGTTTTATGATTTATTGAGTTTTCTCTAGGGTTTAAGATTTAAGACTTTAAGCTTAAGGTTTGAGATTTGATTATACACTACATCGAATTATCTATTAAAAGTGGACAATTTTAAATACCTGACTTTAACTTTATATATGATTATAACAGGTGTCAGAAAATATTTGAATAAAAGAAATTTAACCCCTTCCTATGATAGGGACACCGAGGAGGCTCCGTTCTGGCAAATCGAGCTTGTTAAGGTGGTACTCGCGATCCATGGCGATGAGGAGAGGGAGCACCAAGACAACGAACGTTGTCCCTGTTATCCACGCCGCCTTTCCCGTGCTCTTTGCCAGCTTCTTCGCCATGATCAGCCCTTGCTTCTTTACCATGCTTCCATCCACCCTAGCCAGCACTCCTGCCTCCTCCATACTCGATCGCTTCCTGCCTTCAGTTTCAGACCCCATTAAAATAAACAAGTCTAGGGACGGGTTCTATGCTTGGGTTTTGGATTTTGGCTGGAAGATGACCTATACAGTTGAAATGTAGTCCTTCTGATGGCTGGTGACTTTAACACGGGCTCGCTAATCAAGTATATTACATCACTGGTAAACTGCACCGGTGAAGTACTCAGTTTAGAAGGTTGAGGGGTTAGTGTCAAACCTTTTCTTAAAAAGGAAAAAGAGAGAGAATTCATCGAGTGCACCGTTGAATATCACAAAAATAATAGTTGATGTCGAACCATTTGATGATTAATCAATGAGTGTAAAACCTCTGTTTATGTACTGAGAAAATGAGAACGGTAAGTTGAGAACATTTTCAACCTCACGAGATTTAGATACGATAGCATTCATAATGAAATCCCTGCTGCAGTGCCTAGTATTCATCCCAGAACCTCTGCATACAACCAGAGATGTATTGCATACCCAAGGGACTGCAACAGTGAATCCCAAACCAGAACCTTCCTCTCCATTTCCTGCGAGAATGCTCTTGTATGCTCGGCAAACTTTAGAAACATGCTTTCCCATTGGTAAAAGTTGCTGGTAATAATGTGAAATGGACGGATCTGCGCTTAAAACTTCCGAATCAGAATGGATGTTCACGACAACAGTTCCATGTCCAGGGTGCAGCCTCTTACTGAGAGCTTTGAGAAATGGGGAATCCGGGTCCCAAAGCTGGCAAGGGAAGATATCATCACCATCATATGCATCAATGAATATCATGTCATACGTATTACAGGTGTTAAGAACAAAGTTCTCAGCATCTGCCTCATAGAGGCAAAGTCTCTCATGGATGCCTTTCCACAGCACTTCATCAATGGGATTAGGCTTTGACAAGGCACGCTGACCTGACGAGGTCATAACCGAGAAAGAAGGAAAACCCATTGCTCGAATTGAAGCAGAGATAACAAGGGGATCAATTTCAACTATGTCAACAACAGCACCTACAGGGAGAGCATAATTTTAGTCACATTCGAACTGGATTCACAATCAATCATATCTTGAATTAAAAGTCTTCTAGAAACAACAATAGCAATAAAGTGGCACAATGTTAAAAGAGGTGTGCAGTATAAATGCTACAGGAACATTAATTTCACTTGCTTGAGACAACTGGGTTTTCATGTCTCAGTTCCAGGCGGTGGAAAATCATAAGCACATCCACAGTAGATCATACTAAAAAAAAGGCATTTCACCTTCATTGCCTCGTTAAAAAAGATAAAAAGTCCTTGCATTACTCAGCTTCTATGTTAGATTATGAGATGGCTAGGATTTCATTCTCACGTGCTTCAAATCTTCTTTCTTTATCATTCATTTCCATTATGACCTTCTCAAAAGTTCCTTCTATATTTTGACTCTCCTAAACACTACATAATCAGACACAAAGAAAAAGCACACTACTCCTGCAATGCATTCTGCAAGACAGACTAGACAGGTGCTGGTTATATTGTGAGAATGCATACCATATAGTTATATCAGTCAGGGAAGAGATTTTGAGCAGTGCTCTTGTGATTCATTAGAACCATGACAGAAAAGGCTTCTACCAGAATTAAAAAGGCACATCAGAGAAACATGCACCAAGAAAATGGCCATCTCCTACCTTGGATTTTTGTAGCCAAAAACAATGGTAAGCTTCCACCACCATGACCAATGCATAAAATGCGGATTGTTGTCTTTCCATATATAGCATCCAAAAGGTCATTATTGCAGGATGCTATAGTGGCCAACCCAGCTGATACCATACTCTTCAAATCTACACAATGATAAAGATAAATAAAAAATTAGCCAACTAAAAAGAAAAGAGCCTTTTGGGCTAATTACAAGGCTTAAACCATCAGTAGCATTAATATGATATAAACACCATTTAATTTAACAAGCAGTGTGGAAACAATGAAAAACATGCTATGGACGATCTTCAATTACAATGAGTAGGAACCTCAGACTATAGTTTCCCTCACCCCCACCCAATCAAAATCCAAATGAGAAGCATGCTATTCTGCATATGATCTGCCTGGAAAACCGTAAACAGAAGTGTTACCCCAGTTCAGGGAGCTATTGCTACATCATACAAGATGTTTCCTACTTGCCAAGGAGCTTCACCATTTAAAAAAACAGTAAAACCTATACCATCCATTCATTTCATAAGCAGTGGCATGGTAAGTGATAATGATCAAAACTATATTAATTAGCACAAAACAATAAAATTTCCAAATCCATGATCCATAATAACAAAAGAGAATAGCAATCAACAGGGTCCATCTTGCATCTAGAATTGCCCACACCACAAAACCATCCCTATTTCTCCATCTAAGAAACAAATAAATAGACCATAAAAGTCCTTCATCTGGTAGTTAGTTACTAGCAAAACAGCAGAAATAGAAGTGAAACGTCAAAACAGCTTCAAATCCAAAATATCTGCCTATACATAAAAATCAGAAATGCTTACTTCTCTCACTAAGGTATCAATAACATAAGAAATATAACAGAACCAATATGTTGGGATGAGAAAACCACTAAGGTAAGATTATTGATTCAAAATTAGAGTCGATCAAGTTATTTGACTAGCACGTCAACAAATACAGGGTCCCTATCTTTTAAAGAAAAGTCGATTGCAGCGGTCCAACTATTTAAACCACTGATTCTGTTAGGGGGTTTATAATTTGATGCAATGGCATCAGGCTATTATATGAGAAGCACTATACTAAACCACTGAAGCAATGGGATTTAGTGAATGCAGGTAAAGGAAATATACATGGAACAGCAAGACAATGGGGCTGCTGCATTAGGAATATAGAGCCTGCAGCTGAATGTTGTGATTGTTGTCGATAATAAGCAGCCATTACTTTAACAGCACTCTGCCGTGTTTCATCATTAAAATGAAGTGTCCGCCATTGATACCCAATTATACTAAAACCTCCCCCTACTTCTCCTTGATGGTTATTCTTATGCATCTCCTCTGCATACCTTCTTTCAAGCCATTTCTCTGTTTCTCGCCACTCAACCTCACTCTGCAGAAACAAAAACAAAATACAAGATAAATAAAGAGACTTGAGTTTTTTACAGACCAAGAGAGATAGAGATACTGACGGGTCTAGAAGAGGGATACGCAAGGACGGACACGATGCCGTTTCCTTTATCGGAAGGCGAACGCAAAACGGCGTGGCCGTCAGTGCACGTGCCCCACCATTCAGACGAGTAGAACCAGTCGCCTTCGTCGTCTATACAACGCCGTGCTGCTGTGCAGAGTCGCCGGGTGGAGATCAGCCTAGCTCTAAGCGACATCATCCTACAAAGAGATACTTGATGAGATAGATGATGACGATGACCCTAAAATTAGATCTTGAATTCAACGAATCTTAAACCCTAAAATCTCACTGAAATGTCAACAGGTCGGTCAACCCTCAGCTCTTGGAGAAGTGGGTTTCTACTTTCTTGTGTTTGGATGAAGTTAACGATGTTCTGTATTGGATTGAAATAGTTCGTGGATAACACCAGTTTGGTTGCTTGGGCTTGCAAAGTAGTTACAAGATGAGAGTTGTAGAGTTTTGGGAACTACGTTCACAAAAATTTTGTTTTTTTTGCTTTTTTAAAATAAAAATAAAAATATTTTTTTATATTTTTATTTTTTTTAATATTTTGATATTAAAAATATTTTTTTAAAAATATATTAAAAATAATTTTTTAAAAATAAAAAAAATTATTTTTATATATTTTTAAGTGAAAAATACTTTAAACCGCAATTATAATTTTAAATAGACAATAAATACAAATAAAGTATTTTTGAATTGTAGTTCATTTTGATAAAAGTTTCAGAAATTAATGCATATTAAAAAAAATACAACTGCTTTTGAAAATAGTGTTGTACACAATAATAATTATTTTAAAAATTATATTTTTTATTTAATTAATATATTTTAAAAAGCTAATCTAAATTTTTATGAAGAACTAATGGTAAAAAAATAAAATTTAAATTCTATTGAAAAAAAGATTATGAAAACATTTGAGCTTCTTTTTTAATACACACAGTATCATTAAAAAAATTCAACAAGATAATTTAAAATACATTTTAAAAAGATCATCAAATATAATTATGATTTGTTAAGGGTTTTATTTATGGTTAATTATAAGATCATTTAGAGTTAATTATGAGATCATTTTAAGGTTTAGTTAAAATTATCTTGAAATCTTCCTAATAGTACTAGATATGTCGGAAAAAAAGCTGAGTGTGTTTCTAGTAATTTATTTATTCTTTTTTTTATTTTTTTCTCATATTATATCACCTTATCTCTTTTTTTTACCTAGTAATTTGATCTTGAATTCCATTGTTTGACTATTAGGTTTTCATAAAAATTAATTTTGGTTGATTTTTGTTTAATTTAATTAAATTCTAAAAAAAATGTGTTTTGAAACATTACTAAATAATTATCTTTGAAATAACGATTGTGCATAAAAACAAATTCTGAAACACATTTTGAAATCCAATCATTCCTCTAAATAGTAGTTTCGTGTAAAAATAATTTTTTAAAATGTAATTGTATTCAAACCATGTTATTTTTCAAATACATTTTCAACATGTGTTATCCTTTCAAAATTTTTAGCAAACTATGTTATTTTTCAAAAAAAAAAATCCTGAATATTGAGAATTTTTTTTTGTATGTGTATGTTTAGGTTGATTCTTGAAGAGTATAAGATTTTAAAATAGAATAACATTTAATCTCAGCTATCAAACTTAATTTAGATTTAATTAATTTAAATCTCCAAATAAACTTATCAGCTAAAAATATAAATATACAACATATTGAATTTCATAATTAGATAAACCAATGATTTATGAACATTCATTTATTTAATTTTGAATAACAATAAAATACTTAAATATTTTATGTTTTCCTAAATTATCAAACATATCATGTATCATATATGCCAATTTAAATTACTAAATATTTTATTTGATTAATATTATTTATTCAACAAATTCAATTAATTCATATAGATTATTTTTTTCTTACAGGTGAGCCACAATCACAACTACCTGTACATACACATGTTTTTTTTTTTTAAAAGAAAATAAAAAAAGC